ACTTTAAGCTTGCAATTTGCTGCATATACTAAAATTGATCCTCGAAATTTTTACGAAAGCTTGTTGATTTTTTTAATGTTGCACAAACTTGGATTTATACAACTTCAACAAATTTTTAATTTAAACATTTAAATGAATGAAAAACTTGAATTATTATGTATTAATTTTCAGGTCCATTATATTCCACATATTTGAGTGGACTGATGAAATCTTCTGCTTAAAAAAATCGTACTTCTAGTGATCAGGTAGCATGAATTTGATGAAATGTCAATTTTATTAAAAGTCAATTGGTTAGCAACAACAACGAATGTCATTAAATGGAACTACCTTTTTTTTGTATCATGCTGCGTTGTAGGAAAGTATATTTCAAACGAAATTGTATCAACACAGTACAATTGTGCCAAAAATGCCAACACCGTGAGGGGCATGTAACTAGATGTTGCATGTTATTAGGTATTCTCTTGGAGATTTTTAGCGATCAAAATTAGCGATAGCGAATGCTAGAATCCGGCTGCTGAAAACACGAAATTCCAAATTCGGATATAAAAGAAATGGTAACCAACTTTTTCAAATCCGCTGGTTCTTTTTCATTATTTGACCAGCTTAATCAAATGCTGTTGGTCCGATTCCCATCACCTCCAACTTTTTGAAATTTGTTGCACTGTGTTATGTCCGGTAGCTGGAATTGACAGCTTCGGTTTCACCAAGTTCTGATTAACTAACATCGGGGTGAGTTTGGTGATTGTGGATATTAAAGGAAAAGGCTTATAAATTAAATATCGGATATTTTTACCATAGAGATTTGAAATTTACTTAAAATTGTAAATAATGTAATAATTTAACACGATCACAAAAACTGTAGAGAGTTGTAATGCTCAATACTACTTGATAAATTTGTATTAGAAATATTTCTATAGGAGTATTCACCGTTATTTTAACTTTGTTTAGAATTTATAATATTAGCACGTTTATCAACGGTTTATTACTTTTTTATATATTATATATAATATTAGCACGTTTATCAACGGTTTATTACTTTTTATGAATACCCTTATATCAGAGGCGTAACTATAGGGCGGCATTACTGGCAAAATGCCACGGGCCCCCGATCCGAGAGGGCCCCGGCCCAAGAGACTGCGAGTTCAGAAATAACCTAACATTTTTAGCAACACTAAGTACTTAAACGTTATAATTTTTTTAAGTACTTAAAATCAATTAAAGCGAGACACAACTTAAGACCATTTGGTCAACATTTTTGTCGTTAATGTTACAGTCGCACGTATATTTCTGAAACATTGTGTAAAAGCGAAAGTTTTTCATTTATTCTGATAATAAACCCCAGAAGCTACATTTTATATGGGCGATTCTACCAGCACGGGTGGGACATTTGAACAGAAAAAATTGTTCTTTCTTGTTAAAATTTAAGTATAAAGTACTGAACAATTCTACATTTTGATAAGTTACACCTAATTGACTATTATAAAGGTTATTACAAAATACGAAAAAAATTGCCAGCTTACTTTTATATACAAAAAAATCTGAGTTATTTCTTCTCTCATGGGTGGGACAAAAAACAGAACCTGCCTTTGGGAGCAGACATATTTTACGAAAACTCTGTTACTTTATTTCACTTTTCTGTGTGAACTTGATGTCTTATAATAAAACAAAGAACCACGAAAGCAAACAAATCAAAAACTACAACAAAAAGGATGGCTTTATTATAAAAAAAATAACATTTGTTAGGGGTGGGACACGTACGAATTTTTATATGAAAAGGAGCTTTTAGTGTGGTCCATATTAAAGATTAGTTATTAAAAATATAAGAGGCCAAGTAGTAAGTTCAAGTAAGTTCACTCTCATTTTATCTTAGTATAATGCCTTTTATATAGAAGAAAAAGCCTAGCATCGTCAGCCAAAAAAGTTATTAAAAATCAACGCGATCTCCTAGTGTCTTGAAATTTTCACTTTTCCCTATTTAAATTTAATGTGCTATAAAACTGCGTACCTAGAACTTTTCTAAAAATTATGAACAAAAAGTTTAAAATTTTTGGCTGTAATTGTTAAAATTTGTCGAAATTTATAATTTTTGTCCGAAGTTTGAAATGTGGTTCTGGTTATGTAATACGCTAGACTTTTATAAAAAAAAATATGAACATTAAATAAACAAAAGAAAAAACCAAAACTGGTCAAAATGTCACTTAACTTAATCAGCTGACCACAAGGGTATATACATAGGTAATGGGCAAGTCCGCGCTTCCGCCCTTCTCCCCTGCGACCACCTCAACAAACAGTTAAAGCTTATCAGCCCTGCAAACCTACCTCTGGCACCTGTACCACCCGTAGCTGTCACGGGTGGGACATGCTTGACTGTTGAATTATTTTTATCTAACTATGTGGAAACGAAAATGCAATTGTGGTAAACATTGACAATGAAGCTCTAACATTATGTAACAAACCCGAAACACAACTTCAACTCCTGTAATTAAATATAACAACTTTTATCTTTTTTTGTCACGGGTGGGACAAGACCAATACTGTTTAATAATAAAAAGAATTGTTTAACGCTCGGATTATTTTCAACTTGAAGATGAAAC